CTGCCTGTACTCACACAGCCACGAGGTCCAGGCACAGCCCCAGGGTGGTAAAGGCTGGGCAGGGCTGTGGCCAGCCCCGGCGGTCCTACATTGAATCAAACACATTCACAGGAACAGGGTGTGTGTTACTGAGCTGCAAAGCTGGCAAACGCCTTGTGCCAGGTGCTACTTAGAATTATTTGTATATTTTGTGTATTTATGCTTTCCTAAGCAGACACAGAATGGGCATTTGTTTCCTTTGGCTGCTTAAGCATTGGCAGCTGGTGCAGTTTCATGAGCAAGGGCCCGGCAAGCACCGCATGCAGGAGAGCACCGCCGTCCTGAAGGGGCAGGATTAGACCTCGTGGATGCAGGAATTGACCCCGACACCACCCGAACACCAAAGGCTTCTTCACAACCTGGCCTGGTCTTGGTGCCACCTGCAGACATGAGCCTGTCTCCAGTCCTTGCCCAGAGATTGCCCTTCCCAGCTTACAGATGTTTGGGGTACAAGCAGGGATCTTACAAGGGGAACATGCATGAATGTATTTTGGGAACATATTTTATGTATGATGTATTTATGGAAGGTAGATTTTTTTTTTTAATATATAAATATATATATTGGTATGGTGATGTAATTCTTATGTTTATAAAATGAGGTTTATCTGAATGTGTTATTTCCAGAGCAAAAGGAAACTGTGGGGGGTTTATTTTGGTGGTGTAGGGCTGGTGACTGATGGATTTAAGTAGTAACAAGGTGCTCCCGTTCCATAAGCAGGCTCTGTATGTATACAGGTAATTTAAAACAGAATATTTGAGAATATGTTTCCCAGTCCCAAATAAAGTACTATATTGCTATAAAAAGCACAAAAACGCAATGAGTATTTCACAGGGTGCCTGCGTGTGTTTTCCATCAGCCATCCTGCTAACATGGGCCACATCCTGGGGGTCTGGGCTTTGCTGCACATCATCACGGTGTCCCCAAGGGTCTGCAGTCCACCCAGGGAGGAGAGCTTGGATTTGGGGTTGTGCTCAGATAGCAGTGCTCACAGAGCACTCGTGGCTGCGGGAGCTGCAGCAGCACTGCCCGACAGGTGGGACAGCAGGTGCCAGGGAGACCCTGTGGCTCTGTGTCTCATACCGATGTACCCTCTCCTCCTCAAGGGGGACTATTGCTTTTGAAGGCAAAATGAGTTTTTTGGTTGTTGAGAAGAAGAATGAAGAGGGAAAGGTGCGGCCCGCATCCATCCCCGGAGTGACCCCCTCAAAGCCACCCAGGTTCTCCCAGAACTGCGCAATGGAAATGAGGTCAAAGTCCTGCGTCCTGTATGGTTTGCTAAAGGAGTGACTCATGCTGATCGAGAACACAAACAAACAGCAGCTGGTATTGAGGAAAAGCCACGGGGAATTAAAACAAATGAGTGCGCACAAAGGAGCCCAAGCAGGAAGAGCTGCCTGGCGCTTGTTGGAGACACAACCCAAGGCAGTCACTGAGCCTTTTTCTCCAGCCAAGAGTTTGTCGAGTTTCCTGGAGGAAAGAAACCTCGGGGTGCCGCTAGATGGCAGTGGAGACAGCAGCACGGCTCGGTTTGCTTCAGCATCAGAAATCAGAGCTATGTCCAGGGGATGGATCTGCTAGGTAGCATTTGTAAGCAGAAAGTGATTTAGCACGTGAGGGTGCAAACAGAGCAGCGGTATTATTTTTATGGAAGTGGATTCATTTGCATTCGAAGCCTAAATAATAAATGCCCAAATTACCTCGTCTTTCCTGCAAGTTTTAATCTTGTTCTGCAAGCAACAGTTTTAAAAGGTGAAAATGAGTTCATTTTGCTCCTTTGGGAATGGGGCACTGAGTTTATCTTCCAGGTGGGGAACCTCAATCCAGTGTCCTAGAAATGGGTGTAAGGCTAAATCTCATGTTAACTTAAGAATATCAGTTGTGCCAAATCTCACCTCCTTCATTACCAAGGAACACCCTGCTAGTTAATAGACAGTCCTGAGTCCTCCTGAAAGTGCATGCAATGGGATAGCTCCACCGAAATCCCTCGTAACAGACCTACCCTCCTAGTAAGGGTGAAGCAAGGCTACTATAAAATGAATATAGCAGTAGTGCAGTGAAACACTAATGCACTAGTAACTATAGAAACTGTAGCTCTAGACATGAATGTTCGACATACTAATCTGCCCTGGTCTGAACTAATATGAAAAATGTGGTCTCTTACTATCCCAGCACCTGGTTAAAAATGCAAAATCGGTTCTGAGAGGGGCTTTGGAAGCCCACGAAAGCACAGAAGAAGCCTTCCACCTCAGCAGAGGTATGAATTAAAAATCATGAGCTCTCAGACCTTATGGCATCACAGATAAAATCTTCCTAGTACTTAAATCAGGTCACCTAAGCAACATCAATGAAAAACACATTTAGCAGGAAGACTAAACTACCTGTGATCACTGCTTGCCTTCATTCTTAAGGACGGGGACAAATCTGTGACTTTTTGCTGCTAGTGGGTACAGGGCAGATTCTCAGCTGATGTAGGTCACTGTAATTGTCCTTCAGTGTCTACATCTGGATCTGATGCAGCAAGGGGAGGAGTGCTGAGTGTGTTCCTCATGGGCTGATCATCTAAAAGCTCAGGGGTAAGAGTAGAGCAGGAGTTGAGGGCAGCCTGGCCAGCTCTGCATGCAGGTGAGACTTCTGCAACGTGGCTCAGCCTGCACTGGGGGGAGTGGTGAGTTTGCTGACAGATGTGGGAAATACAGGCTAATTGTTGTGTTTATTCTGGAAAAAAAAAAAAAAATGAAGAAGGGAAAAAAAAAATGAAGAAGGGAAAAAAAAAAAAAAAAAAAAAGCACTAGGGCCTAGCTTGATGCACTGAAAAGGCCATACTTTTGCTGTCATCTTTTCTACCAAGCTCCTGACCTTCTGTGATCTCCCAGCTAATGGCAATTAACTTCCTTCACTGAGCAATGAGTCTGTGGCAGCTAAAGTACAGGCTGCGGTGCTCACTGCTCGCAGGACCCGCTGGAAGCAGCAGCCAGGCAAGGCGGTTCAGTCCGTGCCCTTCTGCCCTCGCAGGCTGATAGCTGCCATTACCTGGAAATGCGGAGAATGACACCGAAACATTGAGACCCTTAGCAAAAGACAGTTGGGTGCTGTTAAGCTTGCATCTTTTTATGTTGTTTGGGATCATTTAGGGGGTTTCTGTCTAAGTCTCTCTGTAAACACCTCCCGCTCCCCATGCAGAGCTGCTCCCATGGGGCAGGGAGCGGCTCCAAGGCTGCATGGGGTGCAGGCAAGGAGCCAGCATCTCCTGAGAAGCAGCCAAAATTGCCAAAGAAACCCAGCCTGGGGCTTGCTGCTGCGTGGTTAATCTTTGTTTGACAACACGTTAAAACACTATTTCCTCTTTTCTTTGTGTGATAATCCACAATTCTCAAGCAGCAGTTGGGGAGGTTATTTGGTTTGGTGCAATTGTTTTAACACCACACTTGGATCTGCTGTAAGAATATTCCCTCGTTAAAACAGTGCAGCATTTCCTTCGTTTCCTCTCTTCTCCGGGGAGCCAGGCACTAAGCAGTGTGTTACCTGCATTTGAGTGAATCAGATAACTGGAAGAAAAATGATGAAAATTCCGGAGAGTTTATCTGTGTTTTTCATGAATCCCACACTTTGCAGGTCACTACTGTTCTGGACCTGTGAGTGTTTCCAGCCTCTTATCTGCTTCACCTCTTGCCCTGAATCAAATGATGCTCTTCTTCTAGAGATAAGCCTCATCTCATTTTTCATAGCCCTGTTATTATCATTACCTTGGAGATCTCAGTAGTGCTGCCTGGGAATCCTGCACTCAATAAGCAAGAGAGCACCTGGGCCTCCCCGAGACTTACCTAAAGGACATGATCCAGCCCTGGGGGTCCCTGCAAAAAACAGAAACCTTCCCACATCCCCTGACCACAGCAGGACCTGGCTCTCCTGGCCCCATTCTCCTGCCTTGTCCAGCTGCTCCCAGCTGCTTGGGTGCCCAGGAAAACCTCCCCACGGAGCACCCAGAGCCAGATGGGTGGTGCTCCTCGGGAGGCACAAGCTGGATGGCTTCAAGGGGGAAAAGAAATGTCTGTGCTCATGTTTTGCTAACCTAATTAGGCAAAAAAAACATCATTAATGCTCTGCGTGTCTAATTGATTAACATTCCCACTAAGCACAAGGTTGCTCTCATTAGCAGGGCTTCGTTGTCTGTGAACGCTGCTTTGCCTGAAGTTGCAAATATGTTGTGTTATCCAGAAGGCATGTCTCATTTCTGCCTTTACAAAATACTTAGCATTTTTACCTGACTCTTAGTGATGAAGGGAACAGGAGGAGGTAGGAGAAAAGCCCTACATATGGAACAAGCAAAGAGTCTTGGAAAGTGTGGGTTTGCTACTTCTTGTGTCTCATTAGCAGTAAAAGAGAGTGAGATTTTTTTTTTCCTATCCCATAATAACTGTAAATTTTCCCTTCTGCATGGGGAAAAAAAATAAAATCTTTGAAGATTTAATGAGCTGAAAACCTGGAAACACACAACTCATTTTTATCAAAATTAATCACATTTCTGCATTATTTTTTTTTCAGTTTTATATATATATTTTAGCAGTTGATAAGATGTTAAATGTGAGAATGTGAGACTTATTGTTTGCTGAAGTCTAAGACACGAGTGCCTGCAGAGCCGCCCTGCCCTCCTCTGTGCTGGGCAAGCAGGGGTATTCCCAAGGCATGACTCATATCGGGCAAAGGTTGGCATCAGAATGAATTTCTGCCTTAGGTTGACATGACCAGTGTCCCAGGAATGCTCTTACGCATTCATTTACTTGTTTTACTACGTATGAAGATGACTGATTCAGATGCAGATTTGCATAACATCACAGGGGTGTTATTTTGATTTGAAATGCTCCCTGACATTTCACAGTGCTGTCCAGTGCCTGCTCTGCTTTGGAGTGCAGAGCACTGATCCCATCCCATCCCATCCCGTCCCATGGATTATTTGGAGCCATCTCTGCCTTGCACATGCCTGCTCCCTGCTCACAGCTGAGCTGCTACTAGGGCAGACTGTTATCAGACAGATTAATCAGACTGATGCCATCGCTGCCTGATAATAAACCCAGCTTTCCTTATGTGATTTCTTTTCCCTCCTCATTTTCCCAGGCAGAGGGGAGCTGGCCAGTCCCCAGCTGCTCCTCGCTACCAGCACTGTGCTGGCCCCTGCCTCTCCTGGGGCCACATTATTTGGTGAACCCCAAATAAGAAATTGCCTGGCTCCAGGACTGCACAAATAAAAGCCCATAGAGAAGCCAGCAATGGGAGAAGCCCCATAACTGAGCACAGGCGCTGCCTTCACAGTCTGAGCATCATCTTTAGGTTCATCACCGGGAACGGTGGCAAATCACATACGAGTCTGGGTCACACCGGGGCAGTGACAAGGAAGCAGCACAGGGGCTGCGTGCTGCAAGTTCCTCTTGCAGCCAGGCCCTCTTCAGGATGTGAGAAATGGGTTTGTTCCTCAGGAATGTACGCTGAGAAGGATTTGCAAAGCAGAGTAATTCAATCAGTTGAGTTGTATGCTCACTTCCTGCGTAATTGCTGTTGAATTTTGTTTGTGTTTCATTGAGGAAAAAGAGTTCCTCCAAGACATATTTGCAAATAATTGTATTTACAGAATTATTTTTGCATTCATCAGCTCTAAGGGGAAGCAGTGGGAAAGGCACCAGGGCTTGGTACATTCTGATCTGACTCACAGATAAACTGCTCAATGGATCCATTTCCTAGACCGCTGCTATTTTAGTTTGACATTTTGTTTATTTTTTTGCTTTCATTTTGCACATTTCCTCTTCGGCACCCGCCTTGCTGGCATCACCGGCACTGTTCATTGCTGTGGGACAGAGGAACCAAGGGCTCAATGGGTTAAAGAGAGACCCTGCTGCAAGCTACCCCATCCCAGCTGCGTGGACATTGAGGTTTCCCTTTTATTTTGGGGGTTTCTTGCTTCCAAAGTGACGGAGCTGATCACACTACTGTGGATTTGGGGGTTCCTGCCTGCATCGATGTCAGCTTTGGTTTTTAAACAAACCCCATCATAGCTTATCCTACATGGGTTCACAGCAAATCCTCTACCACTTGAGAGATTGAGTTACTGGCTTTCATGGAATTCTTATTAAAACCCTGTAGCTGGATTAATAACGGGTCTGAGCAGCTTACAGCCCACAGCACCCAGAGCGAGGAGTTCCCCCCCCCGAGCCCCTCCCCAAGGATCTGCCCCATGCACACTGCAAAGGGGGTGACGAGGGCTCACGCTCACCTCCTTGAAATCCCTGAGAGAAGAAAGACAGGAGGTGTTCATCATCCCTGGTTCTGTTCAGCATCAGGAATAATTACCATGACAGCATGATGAGCACTGTGCTCCATTAAGCAAGCCTTGGGGCCGTGGTCCCACGAGGTCCTGGGTGTCCCATAGGTCTTCTGTCACGTCTTCCATCCCTTTTGGGGACATTTCAGATACCATGGGGCAGGAGAGTCCAAAGCAACATGTTGTACATTCAGGCACCTGGATCCTTCCCCGAATGCCAGCCTCTTGTGGAAATTTCACCGTGCAGAAATCCTCCTTCCTTTCCTTCTGGCATTAGGGTTTTGCCTCTTATTGTGTATTGCAAGAAACATGAGCAGGAATATGCATGCGCACATATAACGGAACAAAGAAAAATCTGAAAATGGAAGATCAAGTCATGAATTGAAGTAAATGGAAATGTAATTACTGTAGAAACCAACTGAGAGCATGCAAATGCTAAAATGGATTAAGCAGGAAGTGCTCACTGAGCATTACCACATTTGCCTCTGTAATATCCTGTTTATATAGATAAATCTAAACACAATACATAGTTTTAAACAAGCAAAACTTAGCCCACACACACCATGCCAAGTGATTTGATTCAGGATTCTCTTAATGTGTCAGAGGTAATTAAAACTCCTAAGCAGCTGTTTGAAGAAGTGAAAACGAATCCTTTCCTACCTGCAGCTGATCGAAAGCTAGAATTGAAAGCAGGCAATTTATAAGACACGAGGGAGAGATCATTCATGCTAACCTTTTCCCTGTGCACTGCTCTGACAGCAGTAATGTTACTGGCTTTCCTTGCCTTTCTCTGCTCTCCAGAACTCCCCATCTCACAGCCTGAAGGGGTTGGATTTTTATTTTTTTTTTACAAAGATAAAGCTTGAAATGTGGGTAGTGCACTTGCTGACATCTCTGTAGGTAAAAGCATTTCATGCAGCTTCCCATAGCCCCATTTAATATAGCCATTGGCAGTAGGAAGCCTAGAACTGCACCCAGTGCTAGCCCACAGCTAACTGGGTGTTAAGAAGCTGGGTGCTGACAGTGAACGGGCCCAGGGTGCCATCACCTGAGCTTTGGAAAGGGTCAAAGTGAGATCAAAGCTAAATTTTGTCTTAATATAACATAAAGACCAAGTATATTAAGATAAAAATCTGCAGCAAACACAATCACTGTCAAACCTTGACAGGTTCAGATATGAATTCAGATCAGATTATGCAGACATTTGTGCTTTTGCTTGATTTTAAGAGCACAAGGTCTGAACTGAAACACTGCCTTTTTAAAAGGCAGCATGAGAAAGAGACACAGTTAACACAAGCCATTCCTCTAGGCCAATAACACATTTGGAAAATGGGCTTAATTTTACTGACTTGGGTTTTTAAGCACTATCCCAGCTGAAGAAGCTGCCAGATACCAGGAAAACAAACAAACAAACCAAACCATACATTCTTAATTTCCTGTTCATCACATGCTGCTTTTCTCCTAATTAATGCCCTTTGCTGGATAAACCTCAGATAATGTTCTAGAAAGAACAAAGAAAGAAAGAACTAAATATTTAGGGGATCCTTTAACTGCAGAGAAGAGGGGAGAATTCCCACATCCCATGCCTTTTGACAGCACCTCTCAGGTTCTTGGTGGCACTTGTCTCGCTGCCATCACACCTGGCCCCGCAAAGGTTTTCCCGGGTGTTTGCGTGCAGCTCTGCGAGCTGTGTTCTCACCTGCTAATTTGGGAAATATCTTCTCTGTAATTAGAAGGGGAAAAAAAACATGGAAAGAAAGGAAGTCCTGGGGTGTGAAGGGAAAATGATGGGGCTTGTTTGTCATTTTGCATTGTTTTCTCTATCTGATCAGTGGTTACAGTAAATAAACACACACGTACATAAATTCCAATAGTCTAGCTTTTTGCAAAGCATACTCTCCATAGACAGAATATTAAAAACATCATCATTTGATGCTGTAAGTGGCAGAAAACTCTTTGACATTTTTCATTGTGAATATCAAGATTGTTTTCTTGCCACTGCAAATCCCCGAGGATATATTATGCTTGGTTATCTCTGTTCAACACATTTCACAGGGGGACATGTTATAAGCGAGGCAAGATTGACAAAACTAAAAATTCACTTGAGTATGGAAAGCAAATCTATTTCTTGTTTGGCAGGCTCTGGCAACTGATACTTAGACAGCTCTTCATGCATATCATACACACGCACGGCACTTCAATTGAGAAAAGAGCTGCCTCGCAGTCTGGAGGAGAAGCAGACACTTCGCATTACCCGTCTGATCATGGATCATCAGACCTAAAGTTATGCAAAAGCTGCTGAAGTGCATTTCAGGCTGGGAAGGCAGCGCTGCCTTTGGGAACCCACTGCCTGGTTTGTTTGGAGATGTGTTGGTGCTGATGATCCACTCCTGACCCTGCTGTGATGGGAGCTCCTGCTGGTTCAGAGAGTCGCTTTTTGCACCATTTCTGAGCAAAATCTTCCTCCACCAGGCACAGGAGCTGAGAGAGCTAAAGCTTACTGTAGCACTTCATTCTGGTGCAGATTTGCCTTAAGCAGAAAAGGAAAATCAAACAAAAAATCAATCAAAAGCTGGGTAAGAGGAACTAGCTCGTGGCATGGGATGAATGCTTCCAGGACAGCTGGTGGGTTTTCATTTTGTGTTCTCCATGGAGGGATGTGCTGGCAGCAGCCACTCACTTCATCAGGACCCAAATTTACAGAAAACTGGCTGGGGCCCTGCACCCCATTCATCCAAAGCTCCTGGATCTGGTGGGTGGAGATCCCAGTGCTTTGCACTGAGTGAATCACAGGCACAGTGTGCGCTTCGTTAGAAGGCCTCCTCATAAGTTATTAATTATTATTTAGACTCAATACCAGACAGCAAAATTTAATCAGCCAGCATTGTGAAATAGCAGTGAGGGAAAACTCTAGCAAGCAGCAACAAATTACCAGAGGCATTATGAAATTGTCCCTGTGGCTTTAGCTGCTCATTTTGCCTTATTTGTTGGCACTTAATTTTTATTTCTGCTTTATTCCACCAGCACCCCACTTGCTGATTGCTGTGCCTTGGACAGGGGCATTGCCTTTGAGATGTCGTGAGTGGTGGCACACAGGGAGGAGAAAAGGAATCATGATATTTTGCTGAAGGAGGCGCTGACTGCATTGTGTTCACCCACAAAGCCAGCTCATGTGGTCCCTGAACACATAAAAAGTGTGGCTCTCAAAGCAATCTGCTCAAAAAGAGCTACATGGGTATAAAGGTAAGAAAAGTATTCTCCTTTTGATCATGTCAGTTAAAACTGGCAGAATTTGGCTGCCTGTTAACCTGCTTTCAAGGCTCCTTTGACTTGTCAATAACACCATTGTGTTTGAGATCATCTTTCACAGTTCCTCAGCCTTTTTCCTTTTTCTTGCTCCTGCTGTCATGGAGAGAGCCCTTTAAACTGAAGTGGTGATTAATTACCATCATTGCTGAGAGCTGCTGAATTTCCACCCCGAACTCCACGGCTGCTGTGTTTAGGGAGCGCAGCAGCAGGGACCACCCGGCTCCTCTCACTTGCCTTTTGAAGGTGACCTTTAGATTAAAGTTGGAAGCACCCAAAGAGGATTACCCCGTCTGAGATGGCAGCTCCGAAGGGTGAGCACAGCAGATGTACGGGCACAGGATAAGCAGAAGATCACCACTAAGCTGGCAGCAGAGAGCAGAGAGCACTGAGGGCCTGCCGGGAGAGCGACTGCCCCGGGAGGGAAAGCTCTGCAGCCAGGTCTTGATTGCCACTATCCTAACCAGAGCAAAACTAGGAGAAATCATGGGATAAACTGAGCTTCTGGATCTCCTGTGGAGCTCACGGGGATTGCAATTGTGGGGGAAAAGCCTGTCTTTTCTGGTGTGTTCAGAAAAAAAAAAGAAGCCCCAAGAACTGTGTTCGAACTTCATTGCTATTAATGTAAATGGAAGCAATCACTTGTGCTGTGGGGATTTGTCTGAATCACCAGCAAGAAGAAAAGGGAAAATGTTCTAGTAATTGCTTTTACCAGCTTGTGGCTATTGACAGCACTCTCTGAGGCAATATGCAGTGTCTGAGAGCTTTGTGATCCTTTACCTGAGTTGTCTGTTTGGTTAAAATTGGAAATATTCCCCTCTCATTTGACTGACCACCTGTGCAGGCAGCAAAGCCATATACTTTTTAATACCTGTTGGTAACCATCATAACAAAAGTCCCAAGCCCTCCAGAAAGCTGCTTCATTTGTCTTTTTAAAATGGATGGACCCATTAATTTCTCCCAAGACTCAGGAAAATCTTCGTGCACACAAATTTAGGGCTGGTTCTCAATATCCATGCCAAGTGGCAATGTATCTCTGTGATATAAGGAGAAGAAGGGTAGAAAATCACCCTGAACCTGAAAGGAAATGCATTAGTTTATTGCCTCCCCTACTCCCTAACTCCATAATCTGATGGAATTAGGAAAGAAGGTTCAAAAACCAGGAGAATGTTTTTTTTTCCCCAAAAGCCCTGGGTACCCCAGAGCTGCTAGTGCACATCTCCATCTTTGCGGAGGATCCTACGTGACAACTGATGCTACCGCAGCTGAGCAGATGCAGAGGAGCAGTGCCATATGTTTTAATGGGTTATGGTTCCTGGGGGATTACTGCAATCATTCTCCTACGGACAGCAGCCCTTGTTAGGAAAGATAACAGAGGCTGAGGCAAAACATGTGTCTTGACAGGGGATGAGTTTGCAGTTGTAACAAGGGGGTGTGTAAGGACTCCGTGGCTGCCTGGAAGAGGTGCCAGGGTTTCCTCAGTGGCTTGGCCCCTCTTCCTTTCTCTGATCCGCTCTTGGAAGGGCTCCATCCTGCAGCTTCATCTGCTTGGCTTCCTTCAGCAAGAGCTCTGCTGCGCTAGCGCTCGTTCACACACAGCCTTCTGCTCCACTTTCTGCTAATTAAGCACTGCAGTTTTGTTGCCAGCCACCTGGTGCCTTTGTTAAAAAAAAAAAAAAAAAAAAAGAAAGAAAAAAAGAGTAAATCTAAAACTGTTCTCATTTCATTTCTAGGGATAAAAATTAACTTTTTCATGTGTAAAATCATGAATATGCAGGAAATTCAGCAACCCTGTATCAAACATAGTGAGCTTGGGCTCACTGACCCCAGAAGAAGGGAGGCATCAGGTGCCTTATCTTAAATGAAACCTGATTCCCAAAAAAAAGAAATTCCTGTTCACAAATCCCTTTTCTTGTGCCCTAACCATTGTGTAGTCCATGGCCTTTCCCATGATCTGTATCATGCCCTTAAGCTCTCACTTGGGTTTGCACTAAATGAATGAAACCATTCCTGTTAGTGCAAGATGGGCTCAGTATCCCGTACCAAACAGGAGAGAGATTTTGTGAATATTTCATCACGTCCTGGCTGAGGCCAAACAGAGGAACCATGAAAAGTCACGAAGCATGTGCTCTATCAAGCAGGAGGTGATGGAAAGCAGGCATGCGAGGCTCTGCTGGCGGCTGGACTTGTGTTGTGGTGAAGGAGTGCTGCAGCTCTGGTACCAAGATGGGCCATCTGTGGTCCTGGGGGGAAGGAGTGATGGAAAACAGAGCTGAATCACCCCATCCATCAGGACACAGAGACACTTTACATGTATTGCGAGTCTCATGCATGCTTATGTTTGGTAGCCCACACATTTTATATTATTCATGGCTAGAAGCTATAGCTATTTGGCTGAAGAAAACTTTGTGGATGAATCCTGCTTTGGTTTACACTCTATGGATAGCAGTACCACTCTATTGTCTTCACTTGAGTAACAGAGATCTGAATGAGGCCAATGTATTTTGCATGCTGGAATGACATGTGCTTATGGAGACTGTCAAAGGACATGTGGGAAGCAGTGGTGGAATTGGGACATTAGCAAGGCACTGGAGAAACATTAGATGATACCATGTCTCCAGGGCCACGGGGTTCTTAAACCACTACTCCAAGCCAAGCCAATACTAATTGCATCTTGTAATTCTTTGGTTTTGGGGGAAAAATTGTGCTTAAAAACCTGCAGGACCTACCCAACCCCTTTTGAACCACAAGGACTTTCATTAACACATGGAAGGGGTTCCAGTATTGTCATGGCCTTTTTTCATTTCAGGAGCTTCTTCTGAGGAATAGAGAAGAAAAAAACAAAAGGAAATCAGTTATTAACCACATTACATATGCAAGCAATTTGGAAGAAGTTGATACATACAGATTAATTAGACTTGAGTTTTTGGTAGCCAAAGAGATAGAAATTTGCCATGGCATAAACCTTCCCTTTTCTTTTTCTTTTTTTTTTTTTTTTTTTTTTTGGTCTTGGTTTTTATTTTCGTTTGCTATTTACTGAGTTTTAAATACTGATTCCAATGTAATGTGCTTCCTAAGTAGCATTAGCGCTGAATCTAAACCAAACATTATCTGATTAAATCTTGACCCAAATGAGTTTGTCTACTTTCTGTTCTTCTAAATACATATTTACCATATGTTGCCTCATATGCTGCTTTTCTTTTTTACTGATGCTTTGGTCCAAATGTTATAGTAATCATATGTTGCTTTTAGTCACGAGTCAAACAAAGTTTCAAGTTTGGTACCACTTTTGCAGATCTGAAAATTAAACAGCGATAAACATCTCAACATCCCGGTCAAGCCTAATGCTGCCACATCTTCCCATCTCCAGAGACTGAAGACCGAGCCTCGGTGGACGTGCACCCTGTGCTCAAGCTGTGCTGAAGCCACCTGAGCACACAGTACAGCGTGACCCCATTTAGGGAGAAATTCATCTAAATCTTGTTTTGAATGTATAACAGTCCACGGCTCCAAATGATCCTTGTTTCCCTGCACCAGCACTTACTTTGCACAGGGCAAGTGTCCAGCTGGACTGAGTCCTTGTGCAGGGTGACGGTGCTGCCACCACAGCATTGGGACAGCCAGAAGTGGGGGCTTCTGGGGAGACAGAGCTGCAGAAATCAGCACAAACACACCTGTGCTTTCGTGGAGTTATTGTGCACGCACACCCCAGGCTGGAACAGTGCTGGCTCCTGCCTCGGGAGATTTGTCTCCTTTCAGGACACCCTCGCAGGCAGCTCTCAACACCCTCCAGCTCGGCAGTCTCAACATCACAAGCCTTTTAGCAGCTGCCGTGCCTCCAGCACTGGGTCACACTTGATTTCCTCAAATGAACCAACACAGAAATGTGTCAGGTTGGAGCTGGGGCTTTGGGTGTGTGGGGCAAGGAAAGTGTGGTTCATCTGCAGGGAAGGGCTGAGTGCTCCCATCACTGCTTCATCACGGGTTACATGTATACCCTCATTCTTCCCCACACAGCAAATTCAGCCTTCACTTCAGAACCTGGTTTGCCTTCCTCCTGCCTTTCTCTATGTGCAGGAGCCGATTTCTGGAGAAAAGGGGAAGCTGAGACGGTGCCGGAGCCAGGGACACCAGGCCCGGCCCTGGAGCAGCGCTGGGGAGCAGCCGAACACCAGGCCGCAGCGGCTGCCGTCAGAGCCCAACCCCACCATTTCCACCCTCTGGGCTGCCTGCAGGCCTAAAGCATCCCTGGCAGCCACCAGAGCCGCAGAAGCAAGAAGACAACCCCGAGCCATTCTCCTGGGCTCTGGATCCAGCCCTGCCTGCGCCTCAGGTCCAGGCCGGAGGAGGAATTGGTGCTGTGCAGGTGCTGGCAGCCTGTCCCCTTCGCTCACTCAGCCATTCCCTCTGTTCTCCTCTTCAAGGCCGATTACCAAATCTTCATGTTAGCTTCAAATAAGTGTCAGTCGGCAGCAAAGCAAGAGATTTTGTGAGCCTGGGGGTATTTTTACTCATTTACGAATGGAAGCAGAGACACGCCATCTGTTGTGCAGATCTTTTTTTCCTTCCTACCAATTGTTCCTGCCTTTGTAACATGGACAATTTCATGATTCTGTCATGCTACTGTGCATCGATTTTATTAAAAAAAAGATCCAATATCATCAGACGCATCTAAACAGGGGGACCAGCTGCATTATCTGCATGTTCCTGGGCGTCAGCAGTAATTTTCAGTGACCTGTGGATGTGGAAGTGTCATTTTTCTTCCCAACTTTGTGGGTGCACATCTGAGATGCACTAAGGGAGAGTTTATTTCAATGAATCATTGGTTCAGACGTTATTCGGAGAGCAATGATTAAAAAACAAAAGGCCAAACCACACAGAAATGGTGATGTAATATGTCATTCTCATGTTAAAGAAAAACATTTTGGCTTTCCACCTCTGTTTTAATTTACATCAGATCTATGCATCCATGGCTGGGTCTGTATCTCCTCATTGCAAGTCTTGCTTGCTCATGCCTGAAGATTTCCAGGCTTTTTCTTTATTCCCAAAGCAAAAATAAACAAAACAAAACAAAACCAAAACAATACAATACAATGCAATATAATACAATACAATATAATACAATACAATACAATACAATACAATACAATACAATACAATAAATTCTACATGTGGCCAAGGAGTTGTTCCAGCAATCAGCTCCTTCCTTGGTCAGATATATCAGTCAGGTGCAATCCTTCCTGAGGTTCCTGCAGAGCCTCTTTTTTGTTCCAACTTCCAGAGCAAATGTGAGAAGATTGTATGGATCCCATTTCAAGTCTGCTGCTTAAAAATGCCTTGCTTTTTAGGTTGGATGTGAAGCTTAGTAAGCTGTGTATACATGTGTAACAGCCAAGTATGTTCACCAACTTCAATCAAATTTGACAGCACATGCTAAAACTCTGAGTAACAGGGAAGTGGTGGCTAAGTCAGCCTTCAGCTAACGCTTACAAAGAGAGAAGGTGTGCTCCAGGATGGGCTCTGCTCCATCTGTCAGTGAAATACACCATTGACCAAAGAGTTATACTTGCCAAAGGCTCTGGCATCAGATCTGTTCCCAACAACTCCTTTTCCTTCTATGCTTTAATTCTTGATTGTACCAGAGGCACTATATTTGCTACAGACATTAAATGGGACTTGTGTTCCTAAGACATACCATCCTTTTGATGCTTTGGGGCACTTTAGGGGCATCACTTAATCTTCTTTAGCAAGTTTAAATATTTGCATTGATAAGGTAAAGGAGAACATAAATGCAAACTTAGTATTTATCACAGTTGGTTCATGGATTTTATTTTCAAAATTCTCCCTTCTGTCAGAATGACACAAACTGAAGTTATTGGTAATAAATATTCACTATTAACTCTTTTCTCCCAACACTCTCTATGCTCAAACTAGTTGCTCTTCCTTGAGCTCTTTTTTTTCTCCCTGTTTCCTAGAAAATTGTAGTTTTAGGTGAAGTATTTTATAATTCAGGCCAATTTCTGGAATTATTCAAGCATTTAATTTAAAGGAAGCATGTAATTACAGCAAAGTACTTCAGAAAACTTGCTGCCTTGGAGAACACTTGCTTCTGGGAACACATACACATCAACTCAGCACAGGCAGAGCTGGCACCCCAAAACAAAACCCGTGAGCTACCCTGCTTTGGGCTGCAGCCCCGAGTTTGTGTCTAGCAGTCAGCATTGCTGAGTCTGACGGTGGTCCTGCTGAACACACCTACTAAAGAGCATCTCAGGGGAGAGAGTTCTTGTCTGAAAAGCAGAAGTTGTTAATTTAAATTGTTAACATTTAACTTCCTCCCATCTCACACTCAGAATAGATTAAAAATATAGGGATATGTATCTTCTTTCTGCAGAAGAAAATCTTCAGTGGGCAGAAATGGGGAAAGAAAGTTAAGCTTATGGTTTCTCCCATGAACCCAAGTTCACACATCCAGTCCACCCCATATTATCTACACTATTTAAATCCATTATGCATATTGTGTTTTCAACTTGCTGAACTAAGCCTAAGCTCGTGTACAAAAGGGTTCAATTATATCTATGAAATAATGAGGCGATGTGTGCAATGCAAGCTGGATGTGCTGTTTGGATCAGCTGCAGATAGGGGGCTGTACCCAAAGAACGGGCACAGAGACAGGTAATTACATGCCTTATTGCACTGCTGGTGCTGAGCCCAGCTCCGACAACAGCAGCTCGGAGCAGTAATAGCAGGTTACCTGGAGTTTTATTGCAAACTGAGCTGTTAGCTCTCTCTGTGCTTTATTCCAATGCAAGAGCATTTCTTTGCATTTGATCGCACAAAATTTCCTTCACTCATTTGTGCCAGGGTAGCGATTACACTCCAGAATGAAGGCTGCTGTCTGAGCCACAGGAAAACCATCATAAAATCACTTAACACCATTTAAGCCATAAAGGACCAAACATCACTGCAGCGCTGCCAGCAAACCCAGGAGCTGCTGAAACCAGGCCATTTCAAGGGAGACTGTGTTTGAGGTGTTCGCTGGCCAAACCAAGTTCAAAGCCAAAACCAAGCATGAAGATCTGCTGTTATTTTCTAGGTTGGCAAAAAAAGAATAAATAAATAAATAAATAACCACATAAACACAAGCTGTTAATAATTAGTTCAAGATACCAAGATATGAATGTGCATTGAGTTATAGGGAGGGTATGGATTTTAGCCCTGACATTTCTTGGCTCATTTTGATTTAGGTGGTGGCATGGGAAGGTTGAAACATGTTGGTGGTGTTGTTGATTAGCTCCCAGAGTCATCTGGGAGGTGGCAAAAATCAGAAAATCCTGATATCTGGAGTGGGTCTGTATGGCCAGGGAGGTAGCATGGGGTTCAACCCACCACAAATCCAGGATACAGTGGGGACAAGTTGCCCATTAGGGCTGTGTTTCCATCCACCCTCCATGAAAACTCAAACTCCATCAGCAGCCACTGTTTGCCATGGAGCAGAGCAGAGCAGATTCGTCTCAGATAGGAGAGGGAGAAAAGGGTTGTTCCTGCTCTATAAGCAGTCCCCAGAGGAGTACTAATAGTAGGCTATCACACGGTGAGGCTGGTGGGAGGCTGAGCAGAGCTCATCAGTGAAGTGTGATTCATTGGGTAACCATTTTACAGAAGAACTTGCAGCACTAATCACAACTTCTCGGTTGCTAATGGCTTTGAAGAGTTAAATGAAGAGTGAAAATAGCTTCTCGCTCTTGAGTCCTCTGTGAGCACTTGTGAGGAAGTCAGCAATTAGGCAAATTAAGAACCTATAGAGAAATTTTCCTTTAACATCTCTAGTTGACTCTTAGCACTAGAATAATAAACTCAACCCTTCAGTAAATGAGCATGATTCTATTGCACCTCTTGCATATTAGGAACATCGCTTTCTTGCAGATACTCTGTGGTTAAATTCAGAAGCCACAGACAGGAATAGGATTCATCCCTGGAGCAAAAAGGGGCTACTTGGACTCCTCATCTTCTGTTCTCTTCTTTGAGCATTCTTTGAGGTGAGACAAGGACAAGATAAAGCTGTGAGCTGCCACTCCTGAGGCTAAAGCAGAGTTATGTGCTAAGTATCTTGGCTTAGTTCTCATCATCTGCAGCAGGAGGAAAAGGACTTGCCATGACAGGACCCCTGCAATTTAGTTTTATGGATGGACAACAGGTTAGTGAGAGCAGGATTTGCACACCTTTTGCCTTTATCTGCTGTCAAAAATCTGCTGTAAACTAGTTTTGCTTAAATATGCTAAATTGTCTCTTAACATAATCCATTTTAAAACTTGAAGTAAGAAAGTATTTGTGAAAAATGTTTCTTTTTATACTACTTGGAGTATAAACTGAGCCATGTCATGCAGCTAACTCAATATCTACAAATGCCCTTTTATTCCAATAAAAGATGAATGGAAAAAAGTGGCCTCCTTATATTGCAACAGGTTTGTATTTTATTCCTCGAGTCTGCCCTTTTCCAAGCATATTCTCAAGTCTATCAGTTTCTTATTCTAACTGGTATATTGAGTTCATAATAAAACCCATATGCATTCTTATCAAAGAAAGCGGACAGCCTGAGGGCATTGGCATATTTCTAAGCTGCTTGAAGGGGATTCTGGATAAGTGAAGATCTCCATCAAAGTATAGATACAAGCAAATGGGAAATACATAGCTTCCTAAAGCATCAAAATACAAGTCTCCACAGAAGCTTGTATGACTTGCTGCTTTTTCAGATCACTTGCCACTTGTTTCAGAGGCCCACAGAATTTAATTTACTCTCCCAGTCATGATACACCACTGAAACATCTCCAGTGCCTCTGTTTCTCTAGCAAGACACCTGAATGAGACACCCCTGGAGACAAGCTGTTTAGAGACAGCAGATGAAGAATTCCTAGAAATCTTTCTAAGTAACTCCTGACAGTTATGTTCAATATCCTCACATTTTATTATATGGCTCATACTATTTTATGTCTCAAACATTAGGGAAGTATTTCAGAACATTGGTTTTGCTTTACAAATTAAATTGTAAAGGTGAAAGAAAGCGGTGCCTGTATTCTTCTGTACTTCAAAATTATAACATGCACAAGCAAAACTGGGGACAGATTCTGCCACTGTGAGTTCAGCTTGGTTTTTGGTTTTTAATTTTTGATTTTTGCAGATTCCATTCCTCCTAGTTCCTTGCTGGCAGAGGAACATTCATCCTTGCACCAAGGCTAAGGCCATGTAGCTCCAGGAAAGGCAAAGGCTGTAACTGTTTCTGCACCATCACCCTACACATCCACACCAAGCTGGCTGGTGGCTGCAAAACTTGCTGAAGGATTGATTGATTGCCTGAAGAATTAGAACAAATTCTGGAGAATCAAATCATTTCAAGAAATCTTTTTGTTAATTGAACTCTGTTCCACTATCTGCCAGTTCATCTCACGTCTACTTTGTGGCAGTTATCTTCATTATTACCTCTGTGTTCACCACGTAGTGAAATACAACTTTCTTTCATGAAATGGTCATTACTGAGCAAGAAGGACTCCATCTAATTTTTCTAACCTATTTCTCATCCCCTGTCATTAGTCTGGCTCTGCTGATATTTAGCAATTTCTTGTATGAATGCACCCTTCCACCCAAATCATTTTCTAGACTTTTTCCTCCAGCATTCAGCCCTGGATTCAAAGCTGGGTGTGCAGTTCTTCTATTTTGGGCACTGACAGAAAGTCTTGTACTGCACTGAAAGACAACTGATTTTGGTTTCAAAATCCATACATGGTCTTTGTGAGCAAAAGTGAAACAATGCAGCCTGAATTCCTGTATATATGAACTGGGAATATGGCTCGCTTGTACATGTATAGGCTGTCTCACTGTAACAACCTCTCAAAATTTCCCCAGTTATAACCGTATTGCCCTGCTATGCTCCCCTTAAAAACTCACTCAGTATGACAAGGTGTCCATATTTCCATGTGTTTGTAGGAATATAAGGCCAGTAACTAACTGTTGTTAATAAAGAACATTTTAAGATGAAAAATAGGTGCATGCATTTTCCTTTCCTTTCTCCCAAAGTAAACCTGAATACTGTATTACACCGAATCCATCCCTGTGGCTTTTCAGGACCATGCAAGGGCTGGTTAAGGCTCCTCTTCTGGATGTTGTGAAGTCTGAGCTAGAAATAAGCCGTTCTTTTAAAAGTTCTTTGCACCAGTGAAGGGGTCCTTATTTCAACACAAGAGGTGGATTATCTTCTTTAAAAGTTATTCAGGAAGAATAATCTTGCACTGCATTTTCTTTGACTTCCATGAAAGAAACCTTCCCTTATTTCATAGCTATAGCAGTGCTAGATCAATTTTGGCAAAGATATCATAGAATCACCTGTTTGCTTTTCTATTAGGATTTGTCAAAATTTGCCCTAGGAGCCAAAACAGTTTGTTTGTGATTTATGAGAAAGTTAAGAAAAATTGCTGTTGTCCAGAGAGTTCCTGTGCTCAGTAAACACCTTGTCAAATCAACCAAAGTTTTATTTCATATAAGCTGTTTTGTTATTGTAGTTGTTTTCCAGACTGTTTCTGTACCTGTAGTTCCCCAAACAGCTCTGATCAGACTTTCAAAAACTCTCAGGCAGTGAATGCAGCCACAGTCAAGCCCCAGTATCACACTGAAAGGCACTGAATGAGCTCCCTGTCTAATTCAGGCTGAACTGATTAACCTTCCTGACCATTTGTTTGTCAGTTTTTGTTTTCTTTCAGCTTCCTGCCTGCCTCCTCTGGCTGTTCTCATTCAGTTTAGCTTAGAGCAGTCCCAGGGTTACTCTACATTATGGTCTGAGCTGCTACCTAACCCTGGGAATGCTTTCCCTAGGGGTGGCTGCACCATCCATCAAGCCATAACTGAAGAAAATCCCTCTGCAGGGACCCTCTGTCCACCCCAACCAGGTTAAAATATTTGTGCTGTCTCTAGGCCAAGATCTTCTAACTGAGAAATCATCCAGGTAAGTCTGGCCATGAGGAGGAAGAGAAGCAGCAGCAAAGCGTGAGCTGTGCTTAGGGGTGAGGTTGTGTTTCGGGGAGACTGTGAGCTGGTGTCCCTGCAGATCTGCTTCGATCTGTGGACAGCTCAGCAAGTGCATTAGGGGTGAAATATCCCCAGGTGGGTCCACAGAGAAATGTTCCTTGCAGTTCACTACGTGAATAAAGCCTTCCTCTTAGGCTTGTGTTCCCCATCAGGTCCTGCAGCAGTGTCACTCCAGAGAGAGCAGCAAGACAGAAACGTGACTTTTCTGTGCCCAGGCAGCTGCATGATGCCATCGCCTGTAATGGCAGGAATGGAGTTAAGGGAATAAATGTCTCCTGCAGCCTCTCATTCCTCTTCCTGGTAATAACCGGGAGGGACCTTCTCATCGCTCAGGGAGGCTGCAGACCAGCACCAACATCCTCTCCTGCCTCCTCTCACAGCGAGAGGGACTCCAGGGCTGGCTCGGAAGGAGCCCAGACTCAGGCAAAGCCAGCGTGCTGTAAAAAAATGGGAGGATGTGGGCTCTTACGGGGAAGAATAGCAGGAACGAGCCAGATTGCACAGCACAAATAAGACACATTTACAGCAGGTCACAGTGTGCTTTGGAAGGCACAAAGTGCCAAATTTTTGTGCCTGCTGAAGTGGCACAGAGTGACTTGAAAGCAGTATAATGTGTCCCAGGAAAATTTCCACTGGGAACTTTTCAGAAGCCAGTCCTGGGATGATCAGGGCCTCCCCCTCTGATCCCCTCAGAAGGAAGCTGCAGGCTGCCATGGGGCCTCCCCTCGGCCTGCTCTGCTCTGGGTTGAACAAACCCAGGGCCCTCAGCCACTCCTCACATGCCTCGCCCTCTAGACCCTTCACCATCCTCGTAGCCTTCCTTAGGCTCCTTAATAATAGCCATCTGCCTTCAATTATTGTGGGGTGTTAGAAAACAAGGTCACATTTCCTGAAAAATGTCGGCACAGCATGTGGGCCAGGGCCTGAGCCAGGGGCTGCAAGCAGTGGTGAACACTGTGCCCCCATGGAGCAGATATTTTGGAAATGGAGATGCTGCCCCCAAGAAAATCAAGACTGTGATAGTGGATGACATCTCTGATAAGCGAGAACCAGAGGAACCAGAGGAATCCACTTGCCCTCTGGATACCAGCACCATGCTCAGGCCTCAAGGGCTGTGGTGGAGGCTCCTGGCTGCAGCAAACTCAAACTCTATCTCTTTGAATTATATTTTTTCCTGGGGTAAACCAGGATTTTTGGAGGGAAAGCTAGTGTGGCAGTGTGTGAGCATGTCTGCCCACGTGTTGAGCACTTAAATTGTATATGAAGATAAAGTGCATTTATTGCCACAAGGAATCTGGTCTGAGCTTGTTGCAGTAACAACTCGGGGGACTCAAAATATGCTTTTATCTCTGCACTAAAGCGGTTGGTATCTCCTGTGTATGTCCAGATGACATATCTGGCTCTGTCTGAGACAAATATTACAAGGTCTATCAGCCAGTACATCTGTTAATTTTAAAGGAGCTTTGCCAAAGTAGAGGGATGAATGCGAACATCCAGCACGCAGAAGATAAGACCCATACAAGGTAACTGGACACCTCATTTCCCAGCTGTCCATTCCCAGAGACTGACCCTTCTTCCAAGTAATTCTCTTGCCAACATCATCATACACATCCCAGTGTGTCCTGTTTTCCAGTTTCCTATTTTCTTTTAAATCTGCCCAGGGACACAATGCTGGGATGTGTGATTATTGCTCTGTTCTGAGTATGGTCTGTCCTTTTGCCGACCCACACACCACCGTGCTCACACTGAGAAGTCTCAGCAGGTTCCTCTGCTACAAAAATCAGAAGCAATAAATATCCCATGTATCAACTGCTTTGATTTAAAATACTCTCCTGAAATCAGTTCAGCCAAACACACTAAATAATATGCAGCAGTTGGGGATCTTTTATTGCTCATCCAAACTAGCAATGCTTTATTTTGCAATATAAAGAAAGGATGCACTCCCATGCCTGTCAGTAATGATGCATTCGATATTGTCATCAACAAAGCTGATATATGTCAATTTTGCTATCACCCCTTTCTCCCTCTCTTTCTTGTTTTTTCAAGAGCAGCATGCTTAAAACAGCCTTGTGATGCCCAGTATTTTACCTTCCTAACCCACCTTACATGCTCATGGCTTCTAGAGATGTTTGAAGAAGGGACTACCTGTCCCAGTGAATCCACTGGGATCTGCTTTGAAAGGCTTAAATCAGCCCTGCACTGTTTGACTCAGGAACCTGCTCTAACAGGTATTTAGGACTGGGACCTGGCACCTCAGCAAGGGAAAGGGCTGATGCTGTCTTTTAGCACCTGCTTCTCGCAGAGCTTTCTGTCTGCTGCTTTCTGTGTCCTTCAGAAAAATCCCACCTGGAGAAATCAGACTGCAATAGGGTTAATGTGAAAAATTCCTAGGGGTCCCCAGTTGCAACAGGAAAAGCAAAGAAGAAAAACACTTGGGTCAACATAAAAGGGAGTGAGGCAACCTGTGGGCCTCATATCCTGGGCACTGTGGGACCCTCAGCTCAAAGTCCAGGAAGTTTTAATAGACAAGGTCTTTGGGTGACATTTTCCTGCAAGATTTTAAGTAAATGCCTTGCTGTAACATTTGAGATCAGGCTCCCGTTGGTTTCCACGATACTTTTCCTTTTTAAGCCACAGACACACACATACAAAATATATTAAAACGAGCCCAGCTTAGCTAAAAGGTCGGCTAGTTCAGAAACAAACAGCGGGGATTTAGGTTGGAGGCTCTGGTGCACAAGAAGAGGGCGATGCACCTCCGGCTCTGCTTTTGCTTGAAGGAGAATACCGATGAAATCCTTGCAGGGAGCAGAGGCGAAGTTGTGAAGAGAGTTTTGGCATTCGTTTCAATATCCCACACAAGGAAGGGAGTGCACATATCCCTCAGACCACACACGAGCAATGGGGAGACTGAAGGTGCATTGGGAAGATGTTTTCCACGGAGAGGCAGGAACAGGGCTGGTGTCTTCCTTTGGCACAGCATCACCTCTGCCTGGACAGAAGGCAGGACAAAAACTTTCTGAAAAGACAGGGGAGAGGCTGACCCCCTTCCGGCTGGAGAAAGACCAAGACTTTCTTTTACTTTCTTCTTTACAGGGGACCACACTTCTAGCATGGAGAATGGCAGGGTTGCATTTTGGAAGTCAGACTCTGGGAAGCCAGAAAACTCCATCTCAGCTGGGATAAGCTGGTGGTAATTTTTCCAACACTGGTTTACATTTGAGAACCACATCATGATTTCACATCTAGTCGTGTGCCCATGCCCTCAGATGGTCTCTACCAGAGGTGCAGGCTAACTAGTTGTGGTGAGAGAAGAGCAACATCTTGGTATCCTCATCTGCTAAGGACACCCAAAAAAGAGCAAGCCTAGCCCTGTCTGCCTGACCCCAGACACCCAGCGTACTACAAGGCACCTGTAACCACAGGACACCTTCAGCAGCCATGAGACTGGTCTTGGGATCTTGTATGATTGAGTCTTTTATGTCTTTTATCCCAGACCATGAGATAAACCCAGATCCACAAGAAAAAAGAACAGAGCAGATGCACATGCCCATGCTAGTGGGAATGCTTCATGTGTGGCTGAGCCAAACTTGCCAAGGAATTAATAGGATGTACTAAATTAATTAACTCCCAGAAACATCCTGCTGAAGCCTTTACTGATTGGAGCCCTCAGCCTGTTAGGTGGTAGGTACCCTTCCAACGAGCTTTTAAGAAAGGAGAGATTTGGCAACAGACACAAACTGTACCAGCCTGGTAGAGCGTTGACTGTAAATCAACAGCTGCATTGATTCCAGGTAGCTGATATTTCAGAGTGTAATTGAGATTTTCTTTTAATTATATTTCTTGATATTGCCTGCCAGCACTTGGCATGGAGGAGGTGGTTCACTGAGCACCCGGGGACAGCTGCTGGGACAGAGCAAGGAGATGTCACATCCTCCTCGTAAGCAGCCGTGCCTGCATTGTCTGCATGCAGCAACATGAGGCAACAGGATCCAAAACAGAGCATTTCTACAGACAGCAATTGATATAAACGTGCACACACACACTGTAAAATTAGACCAGCAGATGGGTAGCTTGTTTGTGGGGATAGCAATTGCTTTCCACAAGGCCAAAATGAAGTTACAGGGCCAGGAAGAGACAATAACTCTTCGTTATAGACAAGGATCCTAAAGGAACTCTCTTGCTGCTTTTGGGGGAGAAGAGCTTTAGTGCAGGAGCGTGGGTTTGGGCTTGGATCATGGGGCCAGAAGCTCTCCCCAGCTGGGGGGTCCAGGAATAGGGATGCTGGGCACACACCCCAGCTGCAGCTCTCCCCTGGAAAGAATAGGTGAGCACAACCCACCATGTTTCATGTCCCACTTTCCTTCTTCGGGATATTCTTGATCCATCCCCAGAACCCGTCCAAGGACCAGGAGCAAGGGGTGAGAGCAGCTGGGAACACCAGCCCTGGCAAACTGCTCTCTGCTAACAGACATTTCATAGCAGAGGCTTTTAAATGAAAGGAACATTGGTTTAAAGAGATTATTAGTCATTCTTTAAACCAGTGTGGGATGAGGGCTAGAAAACATCTCTCTCCGTATTTGTATGACTACACATGACTAAATAAATCTGGTTGTGGTCAGCATTCAATGGCAACCCTGTCAGCCAGATTTAAGAGAAGGAAAGTTTGGAGGAATATTGGCTCTTGGTGGATAGTTGTGTGAAGGGCACTGTGTTCATGCAGTGATTATTTGTTTGACTGCAGGTTTAGAGCCCTTCTTGTATCAAATGGATAAGCAGTCCACAGGTGCACTCGGAGCCCACTGGTGTTTGGGAACCCAGCATCTGTCCATGAATAAACGGGAGAAATTATGGTTGTCTTTGACCAAATCAAGGATTCCCTGGATGGGATTTTCCTAGATAGCTTCTGTGCAGTAGCAAAGAGCTTTATCGTGGAGACAGCTGAGTGAGCAGCTCGCTGGGGTGTTACAGGGACCAGCCTCCCAGCAGACCACTCAGCCATGCCCGTCCTGGGGGCTCTTTGGTGTGGAGGATCCCCCTTTGACCCTCAGCATCTCTTCAGCATCACTGCCCCTGCAACAGGACAGTTCAGAGAGATCACACACCCCGAATCTGAGCATGTGGGAGAAGGGAAAAGTCATGGGGAGGGGGACCAAAGCAAAGCAGCTCGGTGCTGTCACCGTGCTATGGGGCTGAGAGGTCCCAGGGCAGAGGGAGATATCTGTAGGTGTTTATTTTTTTCCCTCTTTAAAATGCATTTCTCCTAGAAGCAGCAGGGTGAGGGGGATGCCCCCAAATGGGGGCTAGCAGGGGGGATGTCCAGGCGGGATGGAGCATCCCTGGTGCCTCTCACCTCCCAGGGGCCAAGAAGAGGGGGTGTAAGCAGTGCTGAGACCCCTCTGGACCCCCCTGCCAGCCCCCAACTTGCAGCCCCGCCTGTGCCTGGCTTTGCACGGGATGCAGAAGAGGGGATACAGGAGGGAGCAGGGGATGGGGGGGGGGGTCCGGTTTGGGCAGCGGGGGCTCTGCACCTCCTCTCCCCCAACCCAGCTGCCGGGGGGGGGGCGTTCTGCTCCTCCCCATCGGCTCCGTTTGGGGTTGGGGCTGCGAAACCCTGGGGCGGCGGCGGGGCTGGGGAGGAGGGAGCCGAGCGGAGGGGACGGCCCCGGACCGGGGGGGTTTGGGGGGGGGAAGGCAGCTGCAGAGCGGAGCCTCCCGGCGAGGCTGTGCGTGTGCATGTGTGCGTGTGCATGTGTGCAGGGAGGCTCCTGCCCTGCCAGGGCACATCTGGAAGCCGGGGAGCTGCGGGGAGGAGGAGGAGGAGGAGAGCTCCGGAGCTGCGGGGCTGCGCGCAGCCGGGCAGCCAGGGGAAGGATGCTGTGGTGGTAGGGGAGGGGGAACCGGGAGGGGGGGACACAAGAAGGGGAGGGGGTGAGTGCGTGTCCCCAGCTGCCACACACGGGCACACGGGCACACGGGCACACGCACACACGCACGGCAGCCCGGGAGGGGCAGGCGCCTCCTCCCCGCAGCCTTAAAACCGGTCGAGTCCCGCCGGCGGGGCGCAGCGGAGGCTCCCGGCGAGCTGCAGCCCCCGACGGGGCGATCCTGCCCCGGGATGCACCCAAACGGTTCAACCCCCGGAGGCACCCCCGGACCGCAGCCCAGCGCCTTTACCAACACCTCCAATCGCTCCGACCCGCTGCTCCCCAAAGGGCCCGACGAGGAGGACCTGGACGTCAACACCGACATCTACTCCAAAGTCATGGTGACTGTCATCTACCTGGTGCTCTTCTTGGTGGGCACGGTGGGCAACTCCATCACGGCGTACACGCTGGTGCGCAAGAAGTCGCTGCAGAACCTGCAGAGCACCGTGCACTACCACCTGGCCAGCCTCGCCTTCTCCGACCTCCTCATCTTCCTCCTCTGCATGCCCATCGAGCTCTACAACTTCATCTGGGTCCACCACCCCTGGGCTTTCGGGGGGGCCGTCTGCAAGGGTTACTATTTCCTGCGGGACGCCTGCACTTATGCCACGGCGCTCAACATCGCCAGCCTGAGCGTGGAGCGCTACATGGCCATCTGCCACCCCTTCAAAGCCAAGAGCATCATGTCCCGCAGCCGCACCAAGAAGTTCATCAGCTGCATCTGGATCGCCTCCTTCCTCCTCGCCATCCCCATGATCTTCACCATGGGGCAGATCTACGTCAAGGACCACGATCCGGACTCACTCATCTGCACCACCATCCTAGATGCCCCCACATTGAAGATGGTCATCCAGGTGAGGAGCCAGGCGGACGGGGATCCCGAGTGGTTGGGGTCAGGCAGCTGTCTCCTTTCCTGGGCTCTGAGAGCCCAAATTTGTCAGAGCCAGGAGGGGAATGGGGATCTGGGATGGGGGGAGCTGGCTTGGGAAGGGGAGACCCCAGCAGCCCTGATGGGACAGCCTGGCTTGGGGTGGCAGCAGGGCTAGGGGGTGAGAGCGAAGCTCTGCTTGCTGTGAGCCTGCTCAGGGGTTAATCCCATGCTGGGATAAATCTTGCATGGGGTTGAAACCAACCCGAGACAGTGCAGCCCCCCCAGAGCAGCTGTCCCAGTGCCACACACCTCGGGGTACCCCAGCCCTGCTCCACTGTGCAGCCACTGCTCTGAGAGCAGCGGAGCAGGAGCACTCGGGTTCCCCCGAAACGTGGCTGCTCATCGCCAGAAAAATGCACAGATCTCCCCCGCCAGCATCGCCTGCAGCTCCTCTCCTCCGGCTGGAAAAGGGCCAGCAGGAGCAGGGGAAATAAAACCACCTCTCCTCCCCCTCCCAGCTCCTTGGGTTGATCCACGGCTCCTTTCCTCTGTGTAGCACCAGACCCCGATGTCAGAAAGTTTTGGGTGCAAGCACAGGCTTCGGAAAGGAAACGGCACCTTGAAAGGCAGCAGCTGGTATTTTGGCTGTTTCAGGGCAATCTGTAGCTGGTTTAGCCAGCAGCCCCCTTCCCGAGTTCAGGAAGGCTTTGCTGGTTTCCACGCACTGCTAAATCGAACACTCCCAGGCGTGGGAAGGATTTCAGCCTCAACACTTGCAGCGCTCCGGTGCTCTGAGGGCTCGAAGCATTTGTTCACTGGAGCATTAGGCTTGAAAAATGTAAGAGGAGTGGAAGGAGAGGCGGAAAGAGCAAGACGCCGATCTCCACAGCTCCTCCGCTGCCAGGCTTACATGTGATAGCTCCTCAATCTTTTATTTGGAACATGAATTTTAGGTGGGTTTAATCAGTAGCCAATTAGAGTTTAAAACTGCAAGTGTACTGACGCCTTGGAGATGTTCCTGCAGCCAAAGGGAGGGAACGCAAATGGAAACAAACCAGAATCCTTTCTCCTGCTAAAAGGGGGCGAGGGTACAAGCGGGTGGGTTTAAGCCTGGAGCTGTTAGATGTTTAAGCACGTCTCTCCAAGTTTTCCACCTCTGCCGCCATAAGCAAAAGCAATGACTTCCCTCTGAATGTTGTCCTGGTACCTAACTTCCACCTTGAGATCCTGGAGGCTGTATTTCTCCTGTACATGCTCTGCAGCTTTTGCCAGTGGCAGCCCAGTGTGCTTAACCCAAATTCTCTATTCTCTGAGGAGACGTGAGCCGTCTGATTTGAGAACAATGTGGTTGAAATGCATTATTTCCACTCCTCTTCCTTTTAGGATTAGACTCCTGCTCTGTGTTAACATGATAGGGCTAAAGAGAGCGGATTATTTCCTAGCTACGTCTTCGGAGATTACAGTTTAAACAATTCTCAACATATTTTACAGTCTTGCTATTATTCAGGATCTACCTTGTCCTGCTGCCCAAGTAAGAAGTAGGCAGACATGAATGCGAACTTTGCCTGGGGGCTTTTCCTTGTGTGTTTCATTTGAAGTTCACTTGTGATTTAATTTGAAAGTAAAAAGGAGGTGATTATTGGGGGGAGCTACTGGGGATTGGGGGGTGAACACCATGCCTTTCCTTCTCAGGGGATCTGAAAGGGGGCTTTGCTAAGATGGGAAGCTTATTTAAGGGTTTGGGCTCATTCCTCCAGACTCTGAAGGAGCACACACATAGTGAGAAGCAGGGCCTGGGCTGGGGAGGGCTCTGGAGTGAATAAGCAAAGCAGCTGCAAGTCAGGGCTGAAGTGCATTAATGGGAACCATCGCACAGCGTGTGGCCGGGCATTCACACCTCGTACGCTGTGCAAAAGTTTAAAAAAAGACAAATAATGGAAGACCTGTGAGAAGGGGCAGCGGTGATGTGGGAGAGTGATGCGCAAAGGTCCTGCAGCTTGAAAGTCGGAGCTCTTGACTTTTGCAGAGGACTGAAGCTGCTTTCGAGCAGGTCTCTACATCTCTGTGTTCATTTTCTGTCCTTAATTTAGGCAGAGCAGTGATACACTTGCTCAAGCTGGCAAATCTCTGGTAATAACTCACTCAACATATTTCACTCTTCCTGTTTGGCATACTGTCTAAAGCAAACGGGGATGTTTTTGGAAACCATCAGTTCTCCGAGAGGTTTTATTTGGTGACTGACTGCAAGCCAGTCCCCAAACAGAGCGAATGTAGCCATTTATAGACTCGGAGCCCACTGAGAGCTCGGATAAGCCCAGGAGCACGCTCCTCCCTGGACTGGAACAGCCTTCCCGGGATGAATATTTGAGGGTATTAATTTAAGTCTCTCTTTGAAAAGATTCCTCACTATTGGCTTTGAATCTTTAGGTTTTAAAGGACAATCCCAAGGAAAGCTAGGCTGTGCAGACAATTAGGTTCCTTTACAGTAAGAAAAAGAAGAGTAACTATCCAAACAGCACTTGGCATATTAGATTTTTGCTCGTATTACTTAGCTTGTACCAGTAAAACTTCAGGGCAACTGGAAGAAGCCCTGGCTTTGGTTATCACCATCCTTGCAGCATCCTAAATCAGGCTGCAAACCTGGTTTGCTCTGTGCTCCTCAGCACCAAGCCTGCCTGCTACTTCTCTTGGTTAGGGATTCTGCTTTGAATATTGGCATCGGTTTGGGGTACGGTGGCAGGAATAAGTCCATTATAGCTGCATCATTTAGGTCTAGTTAACACTTTAACTGGCAGACGTCCTCTCCCGCACGCTGCAGCCAATTTGATGGTGTTTTTCTTTTTTTTCCCACACAAATTAAGCACTTCTCAAAGCCATTTCCATACAAGCAAATTAATGTTTTCATGCCACTTCAACTGGAGGAGGCTGTAAAAGCTACTCGTTGTGGCAGCACCAGATAAAAGACAGAAGGAGGTCGGTGCCCTGTTCCTTTGCAGGTCAGTACGTGTGGTTTTGGCTGTTGTGGTTTTGCTCTTGGCTCTGGGGCTGCTCCCTGGAGCAGGGGACAGCTGAGCAACTGCTCCACATGCACTCTCCATTCTGTCTTTTAAAAAGGTCTGAATTCGAATGGCCAGAGTGCAAATACCAGTTTCCTGTAGTGCTTCTTACTTTACCTTGATAGATCTTTTCCAGAGAGGTCCTCAGTGAACCTGGGGTAACAGAGGAAGTTTAAAGAAGTCCCCGCGATCCTGGTGCAGCTCCCAGCACCCAGCACAAAGCCAGGCAATTCCTTGACCTAAAATTTGAGGATTTTAATGAATCCTGGTTACAGAGGCAGTGGGGATGGGGTGTGAGCAGCTCCCTGCCGGCCCCTAACTCAATTCACAGCAGAGCTGTGCTGTCCTACAGCATGGCACAGCCTCAGCTCAGGTGGCATTGCTGCAGAACACCCCCTACACCACATCAGGGCCATTTGCAACCTTTCAGTCTCAGCAGGAAAGCATTTCCTCCTTCCTTTCAGAAGACCTGCTGTTTACGGTGCCTGGGCAGAGTGTCTGACACACGCTGGTGCTTTGTTGGCACGGCCAGCTGGTGTGAACCCATTTATTAAAACACGTGGCAGCAGCCTCCACAAACCATCACAGCCCCATCGGCTCCAGGTGGCTTGTTCCATAGGGGAACTTCTTGGCAAGCACTCTTGGAGCTTTTGTGGCCCTCCTCACCGGTTTTGGTGGGCTGCAGTTTTTTTGCTGCAGTTCTGCTCTGCATCAGCCCACCCTGCAGCTCCCGTTGGTTATGTTTGATGGAGCCTGCTCCCACTTCTGCTGAACTCTTCCAAGGACATCTATTCAAATCCCATTATCTGAGAGGCCCAGAAAGTTTTTAATCCCGTGCATGGTGTCACAAACCCCTCCGTATGCCTTCCTCCGACAAGGAGCACCCTTGGGACGCATGGGGAGCCCCCTGCCCCATGGGTGGTGTGGGCAGTGGGGCTGTGCCCACCACCTCCCGTGTCCCCACAGGACACCCAGCAGGGCCGTGCGGGTCAGTCTGGCAGGGCTCTGCCCGTAGTACACAAAAAACAGCCGTGCGTAAAGCCCAAGGGCTGAGCTCTCTCCGAGCACATCGTATCCAGGGTTAGGCGATGGCCTCAGCCCAGGAATGCTGCGTTTATACCAGCGGGGCTGCAGGAGCTGAAGTCGGCCTCTTTTCCTTCAGTCACAGCCAAATTCCTGCTATGACTTGTAATAACAGTGCTGTTTTCAGTCACTCGCTACAGCTCCGCTCAGAGATAATCCCCCCCCAATTTGAGCCAAGCTGACAGAACTATTTTGGCCACAGAGACCCCACAAAGGGTCTTTGCCCACCAGGCAAGCCCCCCCCCGGGTGCCATTAGCCCCTGCAGAGGCAGCAGCACAGGTCAGCACCTTGGTGGCAGGGCTGTGTCCGATGCAAGGTGTCCCATCAGGGCACGGTGCTCCTGTGGGTGCTGCCAGACAGAGGAGAAAATGAAGGTGCTGGTGCTGGAGTGTGCCTGGATCCATCCCTGCAGTGATGGAGAGAGACACCTGCCCCAGGGTGATGCCCATCTCTGGTGGTTTGAGCATCCCTAAGGGGCTGCCTCTTCCCACAGGCTGCCCAGGGACCCAGGGGCTTTAATTCAGCCCCACTAATCCCCAGCCATTTACACGATGGTCCGTCTTACAGCCAGATCTGAATTAAATAAGCTGCTGTGTTCATTGCTTTACATAACCACTTGGCCTGCTGGGTTTTGCCAGTTCTTACATAATTTCTTTTTTTTTTTTTTTATTCACTTGATTTCTTTTTTCCTCCCCCCCCCCCCTCCTTCCTGAGATGTCAGCTGGAGGGAATAAAAAGTGAAGAAATGCGGCCCATCAATTTAGCTTTTAGGTTTCCTTTTAACAGCAGTTTGTAAAGGCAGCAGAGATGAAGGTAATCTGGTGGTTCCTCTTGCCAGAGAAGAAAAAAGAAAAAAAAGAAAAAAAAAAAAACAAAACCTGCAGCTGCCTTTAATCTTCTTCCAAATCATTTAAAACAGCTATTTAATTGTCTTCTCCCTCCTTCCTCCCTCCTTCCCCTTGAAGGCTCGCACTCAGCTCTGTGCCGCATCTGCTGGAGGCTCGCAGATGGCACCCTCACTCCCTGATGTTCAGAAACGCTTCTGCGTCCTGCCCAAGGCACCCGTGGTGGCATCGTCCTGCCATGGGACCCCCAGGTGGGTTCAGAGCAGGGTGTGGGCATCGGGGCTGCCACCGTTACCTTGCCCAGCTGTGAGGCTGCCGAGGGCCATGGCAGGTGCTGCTCTGCGGAGGGGGTGGCAGTGATGAGATAGAGTTTGGTGGCCGTCTAGCCCTAAATCAGGCGTGGTGAGATGGTGATGCCAACAGCCCCAGTGCTGACGTCCCTCCTTACCTTTGCTCTAAGCAGCTGAAGCTTGGTTATTACACCCCCTGACCCGGCTGGTTGCTCTCTGGTATCAGCCACCTGCACCACGTGAAGCTGGAGGTGCTTGCAGCGCCCATCTTCCCTCTCACAGCTCAGGCTGGCATAGCAGAGAAAAGAAGATTACAAATTCTCACCTTTCCCAGCCTTTTTCCTGCCTTCACACCAGGTGAGCACCCTGCGGACCCTTTTTTGGTGTGACCACCCGAGGCCAGCCCTGCCTTGGCTGCTGCCCCCTGCAAGGACACATCCGAGCCAAGGGTCTCGCGCGGAGCTGCCCCCACTCTTTGCCTCCTGTAGGTGCCGTTTGTTCAATCCCATTTCAAAGCATCGTAGGTGTGGGATTATAAAACAAGCTGATGATAAATCAGTCGAGCTGATGAGTTATTCAGGAAAAATGTGCTTGGAGATGGTTCAGGCAAGGTGGTGGTGATGGGGCGCTGACCATCTCTGGGGAGCAGGAGTTTTTGAGCCGCTGTTTTCCAGTGTTTTCCTGCATTCACAGTATTTGTTGTTAAATCTTCTGCAGATGGAAGGGAAATAACAGAGAGACACTTTCATATCCCTGTGCTCAAACTCCTGCCTGGCACATGTGTGTGCATGTCCATCCTCCTCCCTCCCTGGGCCACCAGGAACCTGTCCGTATTTCAATATTTCTCAGCGCAGAAAAGTGTGCTGCTGGGCTTGGCCCCACGGGGGCTCCTTTTCTCCCAGGAAAAACAAAAATAGAATGAACAAAATCTTTTTTAACAGAACTTTTGATTGAGAAAGTTCAGTGAGGTTTCTCTGAAACTTTTAATTTCTCAGGGACCTGAGCTGACTGTCAGCTGAAGACAGCAGTCACAGAGATGAGATTTTCCTAGTGGGGGAAAAAAAAAAAGCCTTTCATATCTGAAAGGAAAAAAAAACCCTCTCTTTTATGAAAAGTGCTCATGAAAAACCTGGAAGCACCTCTAGAGACGTGCCCCAGGCTCGGTGCTGGGGCTGGTGGCAGTGGTGCTGGCTCCAGCAGAGCCACCCCTCGTCCCCGTGCCCGCCGGCTCCTCGCCCAGAGTTTGCACCCAGCCTGCGGATTTACATCTCCCCAGATGCTGCACCCAGTGCTGTAAATCTCCCTTTATAAAACCTTCCAGTTGTCCCTCTGCCAAGCGCATTTCTAAATATATAGAAGACCAGACAGGGCTGGGAATATCATCTGATTTCAGCACCGTGCTCCCTTCCCTTTGCAAATGCCTGCTGGTGCTTCCTGCCAACTACTACTCCCTCTAGATAATAAAGAATAAATTTAGGGTTGCCGCTGCTAGAGCCAGCGTGTGCTCTCGAAGCAAATGCTTCACCTGGCTTCGGGAGAAGTGTCCCTCCTTCAGGGAGCTCCTCTATCGCAGTCTGCGCTGAAAGGAAGGAGATGAGCAAGCAGGAGGGTTGCCTGTACAAAAGGGTGAAGCCTGCAATGAATTCGTGGTTGCATTCCCCACCCGGGCTGGTGGGTCTTCTGTCCTCGCAGGCTGAGCTGAGTAACTGTGGTCTCAGTACTTGGTGGGACTGCTCCCTCGGAGAACTTGTTTAATGAGTCCATAAGTACCTGAGCGTGTTCAATACCAATTTAATATTCACTTGCGTTTCGCTGCTATTCTGTGAATTTTTCAAAACCACCTTATAAGAATGAAACGCACGCAGCCACTGGGAAAGTTTAGCTCGTTGCTTGCATCATCCTATCGATTGCTCCTTCCATTTTATCCTTAAGGGGACAATTTATACATTTAATTTACTCTTTTCATTCGAAAGAGAAACTCATAGGAATGGCTTTCCCTCCCCAAAGCCCACAGTTAATTTTTTTTACTACTCTCAGTTATGGCCTTATGACTGTCATGCTTCCATGTCCTTTAACTCCAAGTGTGTGATAAAGCACTGGAGTAGGGAAGGGAAATACAGCTCCAGAGCAGCCCAATGGAGCTGGGGATGAAAAAATCCCTTCAAAGGGCAAAAATTTCTGCAGGCATGTGGCTAGAAAGCATGTCAGTGCAGAGAGGAGTGGGACACACAGCCCCATCTGTTCATCCTGGTCCAGCCCGGAGACAAAGCAGTGCCAGGAGACAAATCCTTTAGCAGCAGAGGCTTCAAGAGGCAGAAGAGTCAGGGAGAGATGTTGGGAAAAAGCAGCAACAAAGAAAGTAACTGATAAGTTCACAGGCTCCTTTGAGATATGCCTTTTTTTTTTTTCCCCAAAAAAATTGAACTGAATTTTCTTTGCTCCTGTTCCCAGCAGCACAAGAGGAGGTAGGCTTGTTGCCTCGTGGCTGCGTGGTTTTCCTGAAGAAAATCCCTAACGAGTGCATGGAGAAAGCAGAGGGCCAGGGTTTCGTGTTTTTTGCAGCAGGTTGGTAAAAAAAAAAATAAGCTGGCAGGCTCCGAAAGCTGCTGAGGGAATTAGAGAGGGCTTAGCGGGCAAGGCAGCAGCAGCAGCCAGGAGGGCAGAGGGATGTGGCGTGACAGCACAGCCACCAGTTGCCTTCATCCCACGCTGGTGCTCTCCTGCCTTTGTGTTGGTGCCATCAAGCCAGGCTCACCACGGGGCACCAAGGCTGTTCCCAGAGCCTAAAGCAAGCCAGAAGAGCCCCAGCCCCTCCTGTCCTGCTCTGGGCTCCAGATGGTTGATCCCAGCCTGTGCTCCTCCAGCCCAGCACCCGAATCCAGCAGCCTCCTCCCCGCTGTCCCAGAAAGAAGGGGGCCAAACAAATCCCTTTGCTTCATGCCCTGCACACTGCCTGGCCCTGCAAAACCCCTGTGCTGGCAGCTGTGATGGTGCAGCAGGCTTTGTGGGGAGCACCAGCACCTCCCAGGGCTGAACCTCCTGCAGCAGCAGCCAGCCTTGCACCGGGGCTTTGACTGCCATCACCAAGGGCTTCAGCTCTGCTTGGACATTTATGCAGCCAAACCCATCTATTAGTTTCTCCACTCTCAGGCCAAGAGCAGTTTCTGCAGTTCCTTACCTAAAATATCCGATGAATTCATCTCTGCGCCGTTTAGCACCAGCTTTGTTTTCCTTTTCGCCAGCAGAGCAGGACTGGCCGTGTCACTATAAATAAAATAGTCGTATATCAAATGAAAACAACCACGTGCTTGAGGTATTTTGCTGAACGTCAGCTCCAGCAAACCCCTCCTCTTTCCTGCTGCACAGTGCCCACCACCAGAGCCTGGGCTGCCACCGTAAGCCCCGTTAAGGGGTTGCCTGACCCTAAAATGAGTTTTCCAGGGCACCAGACTGCATCTGCCCACTGCGTTGTGAACAGAGCTCACACTGGAGTCTGCAGTCAGCACTGGGACGGTATTTGACTTAACTTGGCCTTTAATTTATTTATAACTATATCCAGCAGTTGGTATCATAGTTAATGCAAATAACATTCAAGCGAAATCCCCACTGAGAGGCACATTATGAAGATTAACAGCCTGGCTTTTCTATTACTCTGGTTTATATGGTGCTGATTTGCACTTGGTGCTTTTTAGACATGTGCTAGGATAGTTGAATCGAGTAACCTACATCTAAGGCTGCCATTCTGCAAAAAAAATCAGTGCTTGACATCCTGCTCTGGGATCCACAGCCCAAGGAAAGGTATAAAAGCCTCTGGGACATGCTGACATCCAGGAAAGCAGGAGAGAAAGAAGAAAGCAGATGGGTATTGCACAAATTAGGGTGAATATTAATTTTACAAAGGGCCCCCTAAGCCAGGGGAAGGGGCCAGGCCCCCCCAGCCCTACACCCTCACCTCCCCCAGCAATGCCAGTGACAGGGACTTGCAAAGGTAAACTCCACCGATCCCACAACATACCATCTGTGGGGGTTTTATTCCTTTTAATTACGTAGCCCATTTCCATTTTAGACGAGCTGTCAGGAAAATTAATCTTGCCAAGTTTAGGATGCCATCAAACACAGTCTCGTGCTCTGCAATTATCTGGAGCTGGTTTATTCCCTTATACATTCATGTGATGAATTTGTCAGGTGTAATGCTGTGGGCTCAGCACCTCGTTAGGGACTCTATTAATAGGATTGTGTCTGTCCTTGCACCTGGGTCCTTCTGGGTCCCTCCCACCCTCCTGAGATGTGACCACCCTGCCCAGGTCTCTCCTTGTCCCATCACTCCTGAGCACGTTCATGCGTCACGGAGGAGAAATGTGGCCAAACCTAAGAGCAGCTGCCAGGACAGGAATCAGTTTGGGGTTGCTTTTGGCCATGGATGAGTTTTGTGTTCCAGTTCTGCAGAGAAGCTGCTTCGGGCTCCGTTGGCTACTGCAAGCACAGCTCTTAGAGAAGAACACGCTGCTGAGCAGCTAAAGAGCCACAGCTTGGTGTATGGAGACCCAGGGAAAATGCTGCCTGGCTTCTTCAGTCCTTTCAAACAAGTCTGGTTGGGAAAGGGAAAATTTCAGAGCATACGCTAGAGGTTTTTATCGTATCATGTATTGCCGTGCCAAATTCCATCCCTTAAATATCGCCCAGGCAAAAATTGCTTTTAAGGGCTCTCTGGGACTGCCCTTCCTGTTGTGAGGTTATGTCCCCTGCTCATGCACAGAGAAGTCCGAATAACCTCTCTGTTTCCTGATGGGAAGGTTGCTGGTTTCTCCTCCATGCAATAATGGAAACCATTGTTAAACTCATTGACTACTTAAGTGAAAAAAAGTAACTTAGTTTCAATTAAAAAAATAAAAAGGCAATAAGAAATCCTTTGGCAGCCTGTAAAAAATAGAAGTAAAGAGACAAGGGCAGGAGCAGGGCAAGAAATGACAGTTTTATAGACCTCCTGCTGTGCAGAAGAGGCCTTTCTGCCTGTAAAACAAGGCTGCATCTCTCTCAGAGCAGCTCCTGCCCCGTTCTGCACAGCTGTGGCTGGAGCACAGCCCAGCAGCCGCTCGCCTGCTCTGCACCCTGCATAGGATCAGCTGGCCCAAAACAGGCAGGGACAGTGCTCACCAGTGACACAAATCACAGCCGTGCCTTCAAATCCAGCCAAAACACACCACGGGGTGGTTTTTCACTAATCCCATGAGTAGGGGCCGGTTGGAGTGATTTACAGGGCTTTTCCCATTTCCCAGTTTTACGGGGCAGGGACTGGTGGCTCTGGGGCCGGTGGTAGTGCCTGGCAGAGGTCAGTCCCTGACTTTCCCTGCAGGATGACACCGCAGGGCTGGCACCATCCTGAGCAGTCCTCATGGCAGCAGACAGCAGCTTGCTTTTAAGGCCACGTCTATCGATCCGGCTGTAGGGATTATTTAGACTCACGCCCTGCGGGTACCGCCGATACAACCCCAAAGCCCAGCTGCAGATTTGCTGGGCACTAATTCCTTTCCAGCAGTGGATTTTCTTTCCCCTCTGGGAGGCTGATCCACAGCCCCACGCCTTGCACCAAAGGAATACCTTGATATTCAGGGCAAGAGGTGTTTCTCTCTATTTCCATCCTACAAATTTCCCTCTCTGGTGTCACCTAGGGGCTGTTTAAGCCCTGCTGTGAGCTCCTTGGGGTGCAGAGATGCACAGCCTCTGGGCAGCTATTTCTCCTGCCCTTCCTGGGAGAGAACAGCCTGAAAGTTGTTATCAGCAAACACCGAGCTGTGAGTTGTGACTTGCCAGCCTGGGACAGCGGTTGTTTTGATGGAGCTTTCACACCTTCATTTGATATTCCAGTAAAGTTCTGTTGGAGATAAGGGATCCAGCAAACAGGCCTTTTGTGTCCTGTCACAAAGAATGAATTGCAAAGACTGCTGAAGAAAGCAGAGTTATTATCCAGGGAGACAAGAAATTCAGCTGAAAATGAGTGTGGCTTTGTCATTAGCGATTGGGGCTGCCGTTCTAGCTGCAGCTCCTCAGGAATGCGGCTCCTGCAGAGCTGCTTGGGATGGAAAAGGGGGCGACTCAGGGATGAAATGTGCACTGGCCACCCCTAAAAAAAAAGCAGTTTGTTCCAGGACTCACCCACAAAATGCTTCAGCTTTTTCTCCTGCTTCCAAGACAGCATTCAAGAGAAGTGGGCTGGTTTTGGGGCAGCACGGGGCTGCTGCCCAGCCTCTGCCAGCTGCTGGGTGCAGTTCTGGGCTTGAAGGTGAAGGAGCCAAGCTTGCCTGGAGCACCAGTATCAAATGCACTGATAAAATAAACAGAGATTTCCCCGTTATTAATACTGTTTAGATAACTTTGAAAAGCTTATTATTCAAAGCAAATGAATTACACAACCTTTTTCCCTATTTTTGGCTCAAAAAGGAGGCAGCAAATTTCCTTTTTCAGCGCAGAACATTTGTGCTTTTCGCCACGATTCAGGGAACGGTTCTGCGCATTGAAACCGGATGATTCACGGTGACACATCCTGTGCTGGCACACGGCCCCATCCCAAAAGCCTCGATGCACCGTGCAGTCCAGGCTGCGCCTCTCCAAAATTTGGGCTTGCAGCTGCAGTGAGCCTTGGGGAACCGTCTGCAAGGACCTGATCCCTGCACCACATGGGAGACATCTCACTGCTCACCTTGCAGAGATTTCAGGTACAAGTCAGCATCAGAGCTGAGAAGGGACGTCTTTCATTACCTCTCTTTAATTAAAGCACCTCCTAATTGGAGATGTGGGATTGTTTTATTATTATTTTTAATGCAGGACAGGTATGGATCAGGAAGGGCAGGAGCTTGGGTCCCTGTCCCGAAGGCTGTCCTTGCAGTGCTGCGAGGAAAATCCTTTCCCAAAGGAGTTGTTCGTGGCAGCTCTGCTGTTGGGCTTTTGGGTGTTACCTCCCCAAGCAAGGACACGTGGCTCAGGAACTTCAGGCTGCTGCGACAGCACTGTTGTCCTCTAGCTTTTCCATTTCCATCCAATTAAAATGTTGTTGTTTCACTCCTTTGCATGCTGAATAAGGAGATAGGGTTGGAGAGAGCGGCTGTTTGGTAACTCATTGTCTGCAGAGGTACAGATGAGCATGAATCACGCTGTCACACTCCTGCTTTCTCTTCCCTTATGGCTCTCTGACATCAAATTGCAGATAAAGGGGGAGAAGCCTGGGTGTCAGTGACACCCGATTTGCTTTTTCCCTTGGGTCTCATGGAGGGATGGTGACGTGCCCAGGCGGTTGCTGGCTGCAAGTGAGCAGCATTTTGAGGAAGAGGGGGACCTTCATCCCCAGCTGCGTGGAGGCAAAGCCACAGCCGAGAGGTGGGCACATGAAATGGAGGTGGAGGTGCAACAGGCAACGTGGCTGGGTTTCGAGGCTGCGAGCTGGAACCTGCCCATCTAAAGTCTCCCCTGCTCCAGGTGTGTCCGTAGCCCTGAAGCTTCACGTGTGGCTTTGCAGGGTATTTTTAGCAAACGTCAGTTTAGCGAAGGGCGCAGAGAAGTAGAGCATCAGCGTGTGGAAGAGCTGTCATCCCGCTTCCAGTCTAGCAGGAGTAACACATTGACTTATTTATGAGCGCAGCCAGCTCCCTTCTCTCCACGTCTAACAATCTGCTTTACCACTCCCAGCACAGGCAAATAATTTCACTGTCAACAACTTTGCCTTCTTAATAAAATCTAAAGGCTTATTAAGCAAGATCTGATGGAACTGGAAATGTTTGTGGATTATTACTTTTTGTCATTCTTTCCAAAATATTCCACGCTTTCACTGTCTGAACCAGCGAACAGCAGACACTGCTCTGGCCAAAAAGGAGGGAGAGGAAATTATTTTTCAAAGCATGAAGAGTGCTGGATAAACCATTGGCTGCAGCAATTCCCAGAGGCTGTGCAAGCCTTGGGTTGTTAATGCAGTGCTCACTTTCACCGATTTTCTGCTGCTTTGGCTCTAGCTCCACCTTCCACCCTGGGAGGTGGGCTGGCAGGAGGGCAGCATCTCGCCAACCCCAGCAGTTCCCAGTTTCCTTTCCATCTCTCCTGAGCTGCACCAACAGCCCCTTCTTGAAGGAGTAAAAGAGTCTGAGAGCACAGCAAATGTCAAGCAATGAATTAGATTTGCAAGATGACGTCCCATACTTTGTACCCAGTAGGAGAAACTTAATCTGTTAGCTGGAAATGCCCGTGTCAGGAATGACTAATGTCAGCCCAGGTGATGCCTGGAAAATGAAGATATTTGGTGCTCCCTGCAGAGAAAGAGCAGGAGGATGCCTCTCAGTGTCACACTAGGAAGAAGATATGAAGAGCTGGAGGGAGGTGAAGGCAGGGGGCCGTGAAGACCTGCAGCACCCACCAGCAATGCCCAAAGAAGTCCTGAAGCCTGGCAGTGGGTTTTCTGCCTGCACTGGTGCTCAGGAGGATGCCAGCTTGATTTCAGTGCTTAGATTTTGGTGTTCCATCAAACAGTGCTTGCTGTGTGAGCGGTCCAGAGCCAGGTGGCCAGGGCAACGCAGTTAAGGCTGTCAACCACCAAGATGGACTTGGCTGAAACAACACAGATTCGAAGCTAAAATGCCTTCATGCTTCATCGATAGAATTATTTTTTATGAAAAAGGCCACTTCTCATTAAACAATTGTCTGTCATAATTGTCTCTAAAGGTGTCATTACCGAGAAGTCAGCTGTCACTGGCACAGATGTACTCATGGAGATGTCTCTGCCTAATTCTAATGAACCAGCCCCGTGCAGCATTGCTGCAGGACACAGAAACAGCCCTGGGGTGCACTGAGGGGTGTCACAGCTCGGCCCTGGCTTTCCCCAGATGCTGGTGTGGTGTCTCCGGGCTGCTGTGGCAGGAGAAGTTGATCCTCCCTTGCCCTTAGCCATTTTCAGTGCTTGTCACAGGAAAACCAGGCTCAAAGACTGCGGAGATGCAGCAGCCCATGGCAAGAGCAGCACTCCTGCCACTCATTCTCCTTCATCTCCTCTCTCCACTGGAGATGTTCCTCCTTCACTTGGGTTTTGTGGCTTTGGAGTGAAATAATTCATGATAAAAGGAAAAAAATAATGTGTTTGGATCAAACCAAGAAGAAAGACTTCAGAAATTTAGCAGAGATGAGAGAAACAAAGCAATTAG